CCCCCCGGGGCAGCCACTGGCCACCTCTCAGGCCCTCACCCTCGACCGACACATGGCACGACTGAGCCACACGAGTACATCAAAACACATTATTATTTGCGAATGCATCACGATTAAATACGAGTACAATGCAACTCAAAATGATGGGATCCAACTAAAAGAGAATATTTGTTTGTGCCTCGTGTATGACGACACTATACAATTCAATGAAAACGATTGATTGCCTTTACTTGACGCTACGATAAAAAGTGTTGGAATATGACCAATGAGCAGCACCAGCCCCCTCCAGACACACATTAACAAACACAGTTGCCACTACTGCAACGAAAGTAAAACAATACCTCAACTGAATACGTTATAACTATACGACTGGAAACGAGCTCTAAGACAAATTATAGACATTTAAGAATAAAGAGAGGCACATCATCTTGTTCCTTTTATCAGGCATTTCTACAGCACTGTAAAAATGATAGGATGACAATGTGAGTGAGAAAATGAGAACATGCATTTTAAGGAGAGTAAATGAATTAATAACAAAGTGGTGAATGTCCAAGAATCAAAGGTGAAATGAAATTGATAAGACAGACGAGAAATCCGCATCCACCCTTCGTGAATCAAATCCGCTGTGAGACCACACAAATTATGGATATCAACGCACTTCAAGAATGAGCAACGCCGGATGGTCGAAGCACTCAAGCATGCCGGAAAAACAGTCAACCAATTATCGCGGCCTGCCCAGTATGGCCATCTGAACCAAAAAGACATTTTAAATATCAAATTTAATAATTGTATGTACTCTGATCATCATAACTGTGTTCTACGTTGATAACTAGATTTGATTTCGAAAGGTGAATGAAATGAATAGCGTTTTGCGTCACTGCTTAAATACGTTTCGTAAAATGACATGAGCTCTCACTCTTGATATGCATTAAATTTTGTTCTAAAATATAAATGTTTCAAAAGAGGACGTTGATATTTGTTCAGATACCTCGTCAGGAAAGACAACCTTTGGCTACAAATCAAATTGAAGGCGAGTCCCACATTGCGAAAGGAGTGTCGCGACGTTCCGAGCGCCTTGATGTCTTCAAACGTCCTCCTGCCACTCGAACCACTTCCGAATCTTAACTTCCATGTGGGTTTATCTTGAATTAGGCAAATGAGGTACACGGAGATGAGGATTGCTAAATAATGAACACATTATTTTCACTCCGCCTTACACATATATTTATACTATAATAATGTAACTGCAAAACGCAGTATTACATTATTTACTTAATATATTATTACTACTACATATATTCTATGTTATGGTGGCTGTCAGAATAACAACTAATCGAGTACATATGCACATCCGATAAGTTATAATTTTTTTTCAAAATTCAAAAAAAAAGGAGGTCTCTGGAGAAAGAATACTATATTCTTCTTAAACGCAAATTTAATACTTCTTAGAAACTTTTAAATTTCTTCAAAATGCAATGGAATAAAATATTTATCTGAAGTTACTTTTTGAGCGTTTCTCTTTATATTCTTTAATTTATTTTTAAGAAATTATGATTTTTTTGTATTTAAAAATTAATATTACTTACAAAATTCAGGCGTGAATGGACAAAATAAGGGTAAGAAACAGAATGTAAGCAAAATGTTTTTTAGTAAACTTGTTCATTTTGCAATGAATGTGCTTAAAATTGGGTTAATTGATGTGGCAGTGACTCGGTTAATTGATGTTTGTGGGAGAGAGAGGGGCGATTCTCGCATGCGCATGCGTGGCGACGAACTGTGAATTTCCGCGGCGGTGGGAATTGTTGCGTTGACGGCGGGGGTGGGGCGGAGGCCTGAAGGGAAAGTGGCGTATCAAAAACGCCTCCTCTCCGCCCCCTCCCCCCCCCCGCTGTCCGCGCCATTCGCGTGCGAGAGCAGGGGGCGGTGCATACCTCGCGCTGCCTCCAGATCGCAGCACCTGCCCCGGGTACTCGCGCCTGCGCCCACCCTTCCTGACCCTCTCCCCCTCCCTCCATCTCTCTCTCGCCTTAGTCATCTCCTTCGCTCAATTTCCTTCCTTTTTCACTATTTGGTTTCAATCTCTGAATCTTAATATTTTTTGTTTTTATCTTTCTTCGTCTGTAGATAATTATCTTTTGCTTTCTCGTTTTTCGTACTTATATTTTTCTCTAAGTATTCTACAGACGTACCAACTTGCTTCTTTCTACAATTATTTATCCTCACAGACATTATGTCCATTATTGACCTCACAATCCTTGAATTGTAGTCACTTCTGTAGCAAAAGAACCTTCTGCTTCTTTGTGTTTGTCATTTTCCCCACGTCATGTATTTCCCTTTCATCTCTTACCCCTTGTCACTTAATTTACCATCACCCTCTCTTTTCATTCTTTGCACATGTATCTCCCACTTCATCTCTACATTTCCTTCAGTCATTTTTTTCTTTCTTTCAAATTGCTCTTCGCTCGAAATAATTCACATTAGTTCTGTAGGGGTTACTTTCTCTTCCTCCCAGAAACATCCTTAAACTCTGTACGTCGATATCTCTTCTCTTTGAATGCGGCCTGTTCCTTCTGCTCCCTCGCCTTGCCTGTCTGTGAATGTCCGTCTATGCGTCTGTCTCTCTTTGTGCCCCGCCCCCTGCCCGTGTGCCTCGACACGCAGCGCCGCTCGCCGGAAAGAAAGGTGCGCGAGTGCGCGCGGGCGGACGCGCGGGGGTGGCGGGGGCGGCAAGGCGAGGGAAGGGGCGGGCGGACGTGTCACCGCCGCGGGGCGCCCAAAAGAGAGATGCGTGGAATCGCGAGAAGCGTGGAGGGAAGCCGGGGTGAGGAGGTGGGGGCTTGGAGCGGGGCGGGGGGAGGGGAAGGGGGGAGGCTGTGCTACCGCCGCAAGGCGCCAGCAGCGTCGCGGGAAAATGGTGGAAATCTGGGGGCGGCGGCGCGGGCCCAGCGCGCGTGGTGAGTTAGTGGGGTGTGGGGGCGGATGTGTCCAGACGCCGCGGGGGCGCCAGAAAGAGAGACGCGTGGGCGAGGAAGGAAGGGCGGGAGCGGGGGCGACGAGTGGGTGGATGTGTCACCGCGGTGGCGCCTAGGAAGAGTCGCGGAAGCGCTGAGGAAGCGCAGTGCTTCGCTGCGGCCAAAAGTCTTCCAGTCGCCGACGGCAGCGCGCCGGGCTTCGGGGCATAGTCAGGAGAACTGCGCCCCCCGCAGGACGCCCTCGCGAGTAACATAACAAAGGAGCCACGCAGTCAAAGGCCACGACGGGCGATTCTTTCGTGAAAACACTTTCTGTTGCTTGGTTTTTCCATGAAATAAAACAGCTTTTTTATTGGTTGTTTTGTAGAGCAAGGTTTTTCAATTTAAGGTAAGATAAAGGTTCAGGAAAACATTGTTTTAAAAATATATATATAAAATGTTTCCCTCGCCTTAACAGAGCCAACCTTTCATGACTAGAATCACGTCCTGTATAGACCCAACGCCAAAGAGTCTGACAAGAAGAGGGCGAGCCACGAAGAAAGCCCCGGGCCTGATTTGGAAGGCTCTAATTGTGGTTGCTCGGCGGGCCGCGGAACAGGCGCCGCGTCCTGTCAAGGCGCTTCGCCACGTGAGAAGCAGCCCGTCTGTCGGCGGCGGACGTCTCCCCTTGTGGGGGTTCTTCCTCTCGCCCCTCTGCTCACCACTCGCGCGCTCAGCTGCGGCGGCGCTGGGGAAACGGCGCGGCGGCGAAAGCGGTGGGCGCCGTCGGGGCTTTGGCGCGAAATCACGCTCTTCTTCAACCCTTCGCAAAATGACCCTCCAACCCCCCTTCCTCTCAGCCCGCTGCAACCTCCCGCACATTCCTCCGACGGGAAACGGTTTCTTTATTAATTTCAATTAACGTACTTGGTTATATCCACTTCTTAGGCAAGAAAGAGAGTGTTGACGAATCGGAAAAATCGTCTGTGCGTAGTCGAAAACGATAAAAAGTAGCCGGCCTGCTTTATGCAAGAGGATACGGTGATTGCTGGAGCGCAGACAAAACGAAGGCAAACGAAGCGAAGAGAGGGAACGTTGAGAGCGATGGATGTGAAAGGGGAAAAAGGGGGAGTCGCCAACATTACGAACGAGGGCGGTCCAAGACGAATTTCGGGACAAAAAACCAAGAAATATGTTAAGAACGTCGGGGAAAGTTCGCTCTCCAGCAACTGACGGTAAACGGCGGAGGACCATTTCAGAGCTGAAGATATTCATAAAACATTCAGTTTACGACACAAAAATCATTATTTAAATAGTTGTACCGAAAAAAAGAATTTTTGAGGGAGTATTAATTCCGAGACGTGTTCACAACATGTGCTTTATACAGAAGCACGTATGGCTGAAGCACTGCAGAACAATGCATTGAGCCAGAGAACCTCCGTGCCTTCGAACGTGCAATTGAGCCAGTAATCAACTCGAGCGGGAGCCTCTGGCGACACACAGCGATCGTTCGCCTCTGCTCCGTTCGCGAAGGTCACCTTTCTACTAGAGGTAGTTTGAATAAAAATGAGAATTACATGGGCTCTGTAAGAACACTGAAAAAAACGATCCCATGGATTCATATTGACATATGAAATTTGCATTAGTTTAGTTATATAGATAACAACTCGCAATTTATGCTGTACTCTTTTCGTTCCCCTGTATCCGAAATTTCATTATAATGTTTTTGTGAAGTGTACTAAGTCATGTAACTTGTTGCAAACTAAAGACTTGCACGTTCGTTCAAAAATCCACGTATACCATCATATTATTTGACTCACATGATTCTTCACTTGCATTAACTGCTCCAACTAAAATAATCATTACATTAACAAAAAAGAAGAATTGGGAGTGTCCTTCCACTGGTTTGCGACCTTTCAGGGCCGAAGGCCTTTTCCGAATGGTGGGCCCTGGGTTGCGGGTTGCATATGCGCCTGCAGTCTGCCTTGCATCGTAACCTGTGAGCTCCTAATTTCTTAGTCCTCAATCTGTTTTATGCCCCGCGTGGTTCTGTCTAGCAGTTGCACAGTTGTCGGGTAGGGTGGATGGTGTCCCTTAAAGAGTTCAAAATCATCGTACACTCTTATCGTAATGGAGATTTTAACTGAAAATTTCTCAGAAATTATTTCGATTCCGCAATGAACAATCTTTCCGTTTTAAGGATTTTACATATGAGATTGTTCTCTTTCGATTTTTCCCTTTTGACAAGATTTTAATTGAACGTTTGTTTCAGGGAGGTTCGGCTGTTTTCAATGCGCCGACATTCTATTGTTCTTCGACGGAGAGCAATAAACGAATCCCAAAGGAGCTGCGACGCTCCCAAAGCGCTGAGTAGTTTAAAAACCCGCCGCTAGAGCCGCTGCAAGCTTTTTATGCTCGGAGGGCAGCAACTGATTTCATACGCTGTCCCAAAGGAAATTAGCTCGCTGTAAATCAGCCATTGGATTTGTTGCATTGGCGCAACCGTCGCTCCGAGGATTTTCTACATCTGCACTGACAGGTCGAACGGCATTCAATTGTGCGCATTTCCAGAATAATCTAATGTAGAACACGGCTGTTAATAGCTTCAGCCCAGGATTTTAGTGGTCCAGTAGGCGAATTATCCCAACTGCGAAATGCCCCCGTGGGGTATTCCAAAATTCGTAAATTTAACTGTAGTTTATAAATAAAATAAAAAACGCCATAAAAATTTCAATTCATAAAATTAATTTAACAAATATGTTTCAATAAAATGTGAATACTGAACATTTATATTAATAAGAAATCACACATTAGGAAAAGAGGAATCGAGCATAAATAACCATGTTAAAAACGATAAAAAGAGCCATATCCACTTCCCAGAAGCCTGAAATGCTTTTCCTTCGCTAGTTCAAGTGGCCTCTAGCGAACCCCATTCTCAAAATATTCACATCTCTATAACAATTAGGAAGAAACGTTCAACCAAGAACCCGATTTCATTTATCGATTTAAGCAGAATCGTTGTATTTTGGCGCTAAAGTAGTTAGCACAGTGTTCACAGTGCCTGATATGCATTTATGCAATATTTAAATCGTTAGCTCTTCCGACTATTAATTACACGGAAATATGAGGATTGAATGCACTAGATCGATTGAGAAGAATCGAAACCGCTTATCAATAACTGAAGTGCAGATATTCCGCCAATGTCGGCGTGATTTAGGCTGCCGGCAGTGTAGGAGTAGGCGAGTAGGTTTGGGTGTGATTAGCGGGCGCTCGCGCAAAGGCGCTCCAGAGATGAGTCGCAGGAAAGAGGTCTCACGAACGGAACCTCAAGAACGCGAACGGAACCTCAAGAACGCGAACGGCAACGCCCGGCGAAGAGCGCTTTGTGGCGTCGACTTTCGGATTCGAAGGGAAAATGATCCTTCAGCCCTCGTGACAGAGGTTGACAGTCGCCGCGAGTGGTTGTGAGGAGACTCGAGGGCTGTGGCGCATGGCTGCGGTGCAGGAGGGAGCGGGGGCAACGTACATTGGAAGTCGCACATTCCAATAAGGTTAAGCGAGCATGGAGACTAAGAGCACAGCCTCTTAAATCGCTACGTGTGTGAATCACAGAGGAGCACCCGTCCCAGCAGGGACAAGCTCCACGCCCCCAACGGTCTCCTGATATGTATGGCGGGTGATGCATGTAAGTGTGGTTGTGTCAGATGACTAAGGGTACGTTTATGTTGGAGCGACGATAAACGATGAGAGCGAAGAGAGAGTTGTTGTTGCGAAATCGCAGCGCTGATGTGTTCATGTCGGAGCATCGCGACACAGCGCCGCTCCGAATTTGCCAGAGACATCTACAGGACATTTGGCCAAACTAACTCGTCCCTTCCATACCAACCTTGTGTAAATCACCCACCATACTTCCTTAATTGGCTTAGGGACTTTTGGTTAAGATTTAAGTTGAACCGCAGTAGGAGTCAACCTAAACTTCATTCCCCTACGCAATGGAAGCATTACAGACTACGAGGTCCATAGGTCTTTTTTTCGCTGGATATTGGCAAGCTTGATAAAGAGAGAGAGGTCAACCTTACTCAATTCCCCCTGCAACACGCGGCAAACAGCTGTGTGGAGCCCACGAGAGAGTCGGCGCTAGCGCGTACTTATTTCGAAGTTTTTGTTCTGAAAGCGAATTCAATTGTGGTTTGCTTTGGAAATGTATTGTTATTTTATATTTTGCTTGGCATTTTCATCGATGCGTCGTGATTTGACGGAAAGCCCTTCAATGAATGTGCTAAGGAGGAGAATTGTAGAAAGTGAGAGAAGTAAAAAATATTCACGATGAGAAGAAAGAATTGCTCAGTTTGATATCCTGGCTGTGGCGATATTTACAGAGGTAAGCTGCCTTGTCTACAATAATTATTAAGTTGGTTTGCTTTGAACATGTTATAAGAATAAATAATCACTATAAACATCAGTAATTGAGTCAGTACTTAAGTTTTTCTTTAAAATTATTTTATATAATGTGAATTTTGCAAATATTTATTATATCAATTCAAAAATGATTATACAATCTAACTTTATGCAAATATTCATTTGAAAAACTCAATGTCCATTTCCTTTATTTTTACAGGGAGAAGCCTAGCCTCTTGATGAAAGGAATTTGGAAGCATGTGAATGAGTGTTTAAGAAATAATTATGGAGTTGGGTCTTGAATGGAGGAAAGGAAATCTACTGTGTACTATAGGACTATGTGGATCTCCAAAATTAAGAATATTTTCTTCCAAATTATATGAAAAATAAAAACAGTGAATACAAGTGTGAAATTGTGCCAACAAAAGTGACTACGTACAGAATATTTCAAATATGTACAATGCTCTATTATTCTGTGAATTTCTATTTTTCGAAGTCCCCTTAGTCTGTCAAATTTCATTTGTTAACACAGTTTTCAGTTTGGTACATTCTCAGTATTTAGAAGGGGAAGTATCATCTTTTATTTAAAGAAAATAATTAATTGAAAGTAAGATTTTTGTCTTATTTTTGTTTCTTCTGTGATATAAATAATTGCATGTTATGCAATATACATCATGGAGTAAATAAAAAGAAAATTTAAAAAGTCTACTTAAAATTATTAGAATCTTCAAAAATAAGAAAGAATTCTTCACATTTTAATATTGTCTAGACAATAATTTTGGTGTTAATTTTATCAATATTATTTGAATTCTCAGTATATCTTTCCTATTGTGCTTGTAAAGAGCCTATATTGTGGTGATATGTTGGTGTTTAATTTAACTGAATATAAAGTCTGAATACTACACATACAACCATCAAATGTTCAAAATCATTTCCAAAAGATTAATTTTTTGTGTGTCCTCAGTTAATGTTGACTGAACAACAAAACACTCTCTCCCAATTATTTTTTAAGTTTTATATGAAATTATTTAAAAAATTATTTACATGGAAATCTTCTGAAATTGTTGTGTATTTTTCAAAATCCATTGTAAATTAATAATTTTGAATTCTTATGTAGAAACTGAGCTGAATTTCAAAGAAAACAGATTATCAGGGAAGTGATAAAGGTAATTAGTAAGCTAGTTTTATTTTAAAATGTTTCTTAAATCTTAAACAGTAATAAACTGGAAGGCTGAGGGTTCTATAAGGTGTAACACCTCAATATTTTGCCAAATAGTGGCATGGGACTATCTGATACCAATCACTTCAATTTTGATTTAATTACAAACGTGTAATTCAAATGTTCAAGGAAATGTGATATTATTTTTACTATTAAAACCAATAATGTAAATAATTATCTTTCAATAATTTTTTTAGTTAAAAAAATATGTTTCTGGCATCTCATTTTTCTTCTATTGTTCTTCAATTTATTCACTGATAAATCATCCACAATTGTTTAATAACATTTAAAAAATAAATTCATTTTACAATTTCTGTTATAAATCATGCTTCCTAAGACAGCACCCACATTGTGAAGGTTCCATGGATAGCAAGCACATAAGAATAAGTAATCTCAATCAATCTGGGTGAATGTCTCACAACTATAAGGAATTCTTTTCAAGTTTTATAAGGTGTTGTGGTTGCTAATTACAAATTCATTAACAATTGGAGTGGATGGTTATGGCATACAAAATAATGGGGGTACCTTCTGAGCATCTACATTACAAAAATGACTCGGAATAATACATTATCACTTCAAGATGATTATGTGCTATTTAAGTTAACATTTAGTTTCCCACAACACAATAAAACAATAAACATGATAGACATACCATAATTATTTGTATTTTTGTTGTTCATTGAAAAACGAATGTAACATAATCTTTAAAACTTACGTGTTGTACTAATTTAGGTGGCCCACAATTTGTCTAAAACGAACATATTGCGGTGATTTATGTCCGTTTCGTCCCACATTTGACTCCTAACAAAAACACAAATGATAAATTTCTCGGCAATCATTTTATTCGACACTTTCAACACCTGAAGTGTTTCAGCTGTGAACAGCGCTGACCAGCGATACTAGCAGCGAAAACCTACCAGATGGTTTTCGCCGCTCTTATCGCTGGTCGCAGCGCTGATCCCGTGAGCAGCGCGCTGCCGACATGAACACCTCCATTTGATTACATGGCGACGTTCTCGTTGTTTCGCTCGCAGCGCTGCTTTCATCGTTTATCGCAGCTCCAACATAAACGTACCCTAAGAAAATGACAAACAATTGATATATACGATATGCTTAGGTACCTTTCTCCGCAACATAATGTATTGTAGGAAATGAAAATGTTCAATTTCAATACCAGATCAAGGCCGAGGCAATACAGTAATTAAGGAGTATGAATCATTCGCGATCTTTCCT